TAGTGCTGGCCTTGTAGAATTAATGAAAGTTTTCCTTGTTTCCATGTTTTGGAATAGTTTGAGAAGAATAGTTATCAACTCTACTTTTTGTTTTTTTGAAGATTTTATTTATTTATTTATTTATTTATTTGACAGACAGAGATCACAAGTAGGCAGAGAGGCAAGGCAGAGAGAGAGGAGGAAGCAGGCTCCCCACGGAGCAGAGAGCCAGATGTGGGGCTCGATCCCAGGACCCTGGGATCATGACCTGAGCTGAAAGCAGAGGCTTTAACCCACTGAGCCACCCAGGCACCCCTCAACTCTACTTTTAATGTTTGCTAGAATTTGCCTGTGAAGCCATTTCGTCCTGGGCTTTTGTTTGTTGGGAGTGTTTTGATTACTAATTCATTTTCATTACTAGTAACTGGTTCATTCAAATTTCCTAGTTTTGAATTAGTTTTGGAAGGTTATATGTTTGTAGAACTTATCCATTTTTTTTTCTGCGTTGTCCAGTTTGTTGGTATATACTGTTTCATAATATTCTGCAGTAATCTTTTGTGTTTCTGTGAATTCAGTTGTTACTTTTTTCCTTTCATTTCTAATTTTACTTATTTGAGCCCCCCCTTTCTTGTTTATGAATCTGGCTAGAGGTTTATCAATTTTTAAAAAATATTTGTTTATTTTACAGAGAGCATGCACAAGTGCTAGTGGGAGGAGGGACAGAGGGAGATAATCTCCAGTAAACTCCCTATGCGTGTAGAGCTCAACGCCGGGCTTGATCTCAGAACCCATGAGTTCATGACCTGAACCAAAACCAACAGTCGGATGTGTAACTGACTGAGCCACAGAAGCACCCCAAGGTTTATTAATTTTGTTGATTTTTTTCAAAGGATCAACTCCTGATTTCATTGATGTGTACTATGTTTGTTTATTTCTGATCTAACCTTTATCATTTCCTTTCTTCTACTGGTGTTTGATTTTGTTTATTCTTTTTCTAGCTCCTTTAGGTGTGAGGTTAGGTTGAGATTTTTTTCTTGTAGGTAGGACTGTGTTGCTGTAAATTCCTTCTTAAGAACTGCTTTTGCTGCATCCTGAAGATTTTGGTCCATTGTATTTTCATTTTCATTTGTCTCCATGTATTTTTTTTTTTTCTCTTTGATTTCTTGGTTGACCTGTTGGTTGTTTAATATCATGTTGTTTAGGCTCCGTGTGTTTGTGTTCTCTTTGGGTTTTTTCTTTTTTTTTTTTTTTAAGTTTTTATTTTATTTATTTGACGGAGACACAGTGAGAGAGGGAACAGAAGCAGGGGAAGTACGAGAGGGAGAAGCAGGCTTCCTGCTGAGCAGGGACCCTGATGCGGTGCTCCATCCCAGAACTCTGGGATCATGACCTGAGCTGAAGACAGACGTTTAATGACTGAGCCACCCAGGCACCTCTGGATTTTTTTCTTGTAATTGATTTCTAGTTTCATACTGTTGTGGTTGGAGAAGATGCAGGATATGATAACAGTCTTTTAAATTTATTGAGACTTGTTTTGTGGCCTAACATGTGATATGTCCTGGAGAATGTTCCAGGTACTCTTGAAAAGAATGTATCCTGCTGTTTCTGAATGGAATGTTCTGGAATGTTCTGGAATGTTCTGTATTAATCTCTTAGTTCTATCTGGTCTAGTATGTTGTTCAAAGCCAGTTTCTTTGTTGATTTTCTGGATGATGTCTCCATTGATGTAAATAGGGTGTTAAAGTCCCTTATTATTGTGGCATGACTGTCAGTTTCTTCCTTTATATCTGTTAATATTTGCTTTATGTATTTATCTCCTGTGTTGGGCATATGAATATTCACAGTTGTTACGTTCTCTTCTTGTATTGATCCCTTTATCATTATATAGTGCCCTTCTCTGTCTTTTTGTTATAGTCTTTGTTTTAAAGTCTATTTTATCTGATATAATTATTGCTACCCTGGCTTTTTTTTTAAAGATTTTATTTATTAGAGAGAGCATGCGCACGTGTGCAAGCATGATCAGGGGGGAGGGGGAGGGGCAGGGGGAGAGGGAGAAGCAGACTCCCCGCTGGGCAGGGAGCCGGAAGCAGAATTCGATCCCAGGACACTGGGATTGTAACCCGAACTGAAGGCAGATACTTAACTTACTGAGACACCCAGGTGCCCTACCCTGGCTTTTTTTTTTTTTTTTTTCCCTTCACTCTATTTACATGGTATATGTTTTTTCATGCCTTCACTTTCAGTCTGTATGTGTCTTTAGGTCTGAAGTGACCTCTTATAGGCAGCATATTGGTAAGTCTTTTTTTTTTTTTTTAAAGAAATTACTTATTTATTTGACACAGAGAGAGACAGCAAGGGAGGGAACACAAGCAGGGGGAGTGGGAGCGGGAGAAGCAGGCCTCCCGCAGAGCAAGGATCCCAGGACTCTGGGATCATGTCCGGAGCTGAAGGCAGATACTTAACCACTGAGCCACCCAGGTGCCCCATTAAATTTTTCTTCATTCAGTTACCTTATGTCTTTTGATTGGAACATTTAGACCATTTAAAGGCATAGTTGATAGTTATGTATTTGTTGCTATTTTGTTATTTTCTTATTATTTTGTAGTTCTCTTGCTCTCTTCCCTTTTGGTTTGATAGCTTTCTTTAGTGTTTGCTTGGATTCCTGTCTCTTTATTTTTTGTGTATCTATTACAGGTTTTTGATTTGTGGTAACTACTTGTTTTATATGTAATGTGTATAGCAGTCTCTGTTTAGTTGATGGTTGCTTAAGTTTGAAGATCATAAGTAGGCAGAGAGTCAGGCAGAGAGGGGGAAGCAGGCTCCCTGCTGAGCAGAGAGCCCGATGTGGGTCCCGATGCAGGGCTCGATCCCAGGACCCCAAGATCATGACCTGAACCAAAGGCAGAAGCTTAACCATTGAGCCACCCAGGTGCCCCTGAACACTTTTTTTTTTTTTTTTTTTTTTTTAGAGTAGACTCCACACCCAGCATGGGGTCCAGCACAGGGCTGGAACTCAAGACCTTGACCTGAGATCAAGAGTCTGATGCTTAACTGACTGAGCCACCCAGATGCCCCAATTTTGAACACATTCTAAAAGCGGATGTCTTTATTTTAATTCTGATTTTTGAAAGATGTTTTTACTGGGTCTAGAAATTCAGGTTGATGGTTCTTTTTCTAGAATTTGCATTTGGTTCTTTTTGTAATTTCTATTTCTCTGTACAAAGTCCCTATCTCTTCTCTCATTATGACTATATTTTTCTGGCAGTCCTTGGACCATCTTTGGGTTGGCTTCCCTTTCATATTTTCCCTTTTCTTAAAAAAATTTTATTTATTTATTTATTTGACAGAGAGGGAGCATGCACATGAGTAGGGGGAGTGGCAGGCAGAGGGAGAGGGAGAAGCAGGCTCCCTGTAGAGCAGGGAGAGCCCGATGTGGGTCCTGATCCCAGGGTCCTGGGATCAGGACCTGAACTAAAGGCAGTTGCTTAACGAACTGAGCCACCCAGGTGCTCTTTTCATGTTTTTAAATGTCCTATAATTTTGAGTTACATCTTGATATTGTGGGTGGCACATTGTAGATGCTAAGGGTTCTGTTACCTTCCTCTGAAGAGTATTGAGTTTTGTTCTAGCAGGCAGTTGAGCTACTCACTGATCACCTTTGACTCGAATTAGCTTGTTTTTTTTTTTTTTTTTTTTAAGATTTTATTTATTTATTTGAGACAGAGAGAGGATGAGTGCATAAGCAGGGGAGCAGCAGAGGGAGAGGGAGAAGCAGGCTTTCCACTGAGCAGGGAGCAGGATGTGGGGCCCGATCCCAGGACCCCAGGGTCATGACCTGAGCTGAAGGCAGACGCACTGACTGAGCCACCCAGGCGCCCCGAATTAGCTTGGTTTCATACCTTGTTAGGACAGATCTCTGGAAAGCCCACAGTGGATCCTGAGGCCTTCTGACTTGATCAGACTAGACCAGTAGACTGGGTTTCTGCTGCGGATCTATTTTGAGGCTTGGCTTTAGGCTCTACTAGGGCAGGTTTAGAGTAGGTCTTATTCTAGGATATGGTCTGTACTCCTAACATGCCGCCTTTCTGGTATCTCAAGATGCTTTGGGTATTAGTGAGGTCTGTCCATTCTCAGTGGTCAAAACTGATACCTCTCATCACTGACTGGCATTTTGTATTTCTTTTGCTCCTAACCCTGTAGCAACAGCTCTCTGTTAAACCTCGCATAGAGAGGGAGCAGCAGCTTTATTTATTTATTTACCATGTATTTATTTATTTTAGAGAGAGAGTGTGGGAGTGAGTCGGGGGTGGAGGACAGAGGGAGAAGGAGAGAGAGAATCCCAAGCAGATTCCATCCTGAGCACAGAACCTGACTCGGGGCTCGATCTCGTGACCCTGAGATCATGACCTGAGCTGAAACCAGGAGTTGGATGCTTAACCACGGAGCCACCCAGGTGCCCCGGAAAAAGCAGTTTTTATTTTTTATTTTTATTATTTTTTAAAATTTAATTTCAGTTAATGAACATCTAGTGTATTATTAGATTCAGAGGTATAGTTTAGTGATTCCTCAGTTGTATATAATACCCAGTGCTCCTTACATCACATCACCCAGTTACCCCATCCCCCCAGGCCCCAGAAAGCAACTTTTAAAAAGCTGGAGTGTTATGCTGATCTCTGATTAAGCCGGAGAGATGAAGTGATTGGGTGTGTTTGCGTGTTCATTTTGTTTTTATTGTTGCGGTTAGCGTTATGGAGAAATGATGACCCGTAGCTCTTTAATAACATGCCAGGGCTGACCCAATGAGCCAACATTAGGATCTTATGCAAGAAAGTTAACTCGAAATAGTACCTGATTCTTTAAACATTTCTGAATACTAACTGTGTCATTGAATATTTCTCTCTTCACTGTCTTAGTTACTGTCTTCTACATTTTTATATCAGTTGCCCTAAAGGAGTGCTCATTTAGTTCAAGGCCAAAGGAATGTTTTTGAGGTAGTCATTGTTTGTTCTAAGTCTCCTTTAAGCCCAGGTTTGAAAATTTCAGCTCTGACAGGTTTTCCTAAATTCCCAAAGAGTCCAGTTTTCCAGGTGGCACTCAAAAGAGGTCACCTAGAAATTTCATTGCATCTTTTGGGGGAAACATCACTTTGTTTTCTTCAGCTTCCTATTTATTATGGAAGCATCAGATTATTTCAACATTAGCCTTTATTTCTAGGGCTTTGATGTCTTCGTTTAGCTTTACTTTGTAGTCTGCAGGCGTACCTATGCAGATAAGGAAGGGTGCAGAAGAGCCGTTGGCTTGGAAACCTCTAGTGGAAATGGTTCACATGGTGCATTTCGGTTTTCTACCTGGTTTGCACGTTTGAGGACTGGGAGGGAACGCTGTCAAACGCTCAGGCTGGTGATGCCAGGTTAGAGAGTATTAACGATTTGCTTGGTGGGGCGTGTGGCTTCTTTCTCACCGATCATATATCCCTCTCCTCTGCCCAGCCCTGGCTCTCACTCCCTCTCTAGCGACCCTTTGAGAGCCTCAGTGAAGACCCCGTCGTCCCGGTGACAGCTGCGCCTGGAAGACACGTCATCTCAGAGGACTTGCCAAGCCAGAGGATGCCCGTGGAGCTGGGGCAGGCCCTGGTCCTGCCGCCGCCCCTGGCGAAGGCCGAGGATGCCCCGTTCTCTGGACCAGCTGCTGGCCCTCGAGGGGAGCTCTCTAACCCCGAGACCGCTCGTCAGCTCTTCAGGCAGTTCCGTTACCAGGTGATGTCTGGGCCCCACGAGACGCTGAGACAGCTGCGGAAGCTCTGTTTCCAGTGGTTGCAGCCAGAGGTTCACACGAAGGAGCAGATCCTAGAGATCCTCATGTTGGAGCAGTTCCTGACCATCCTGCCCGGGGAGATCCAGATGTGGGTGCGGAAACAGCACCCCGGCAGTGGGGAGGAGGCGGTGACCCTTGTGGAGAGCTTGAAGGGAGACCCGCAGAGACTGTGGCAGTGGGTAAGCAGAGGGTGGGAGCTGCCAGGGACACACAGGGCTCCTCTGGGGCCCCTATTGGGTGTGTTGTCCTGTTTCTGATCCTCAGCCGTGGGGGTGGTTTTCCGCACTAACAACCAGTTCTCCAGTTCGCCGATGCCAGCGAGGTGTCTTACGGTTCAGTTAGATCTGACACTGATACTCGTGGGTGGGCAGACCCAGTGGGATAAGGGTCGGTCTCACCAGGCTGCTCCCACTTCAGACACCAAGCGCGAGTCAGCCAGGCCAGCTGTATTTAGACTGATGGCCTGTAGGTGTGGAGGTTCCCACCACCCCCTCCTCGGGTTTGTTAATTTTCCAGCATGACTCTGAGGAGGAGGTTTCCCTGGCATCTCTGGGCCATCCTCCCAGCCCTTCTGTGTGGCCAGCTTAGGAGATCCCTGAACTCCATTGTTCAGGGGGTTTGGGGGAGCTTTCCTTACTTAGGCATGATAATCATTGGCCGTTGGTGACTGGACATCTCCAGCCTGTCTCTCTTTCTCGGGGGCAGAGGGTTGGGGCTGTGGGTTCAGTCCTCTAATCACCTGGTTGGTTCCTGTGGTAACCAGCCTCCATCCTGAGGCTGTCTGGGGGCCCACCAAGTGTCAACTTCTTAGCATAAACTCAGGAATGGTTGAAAGGGGCTCATGATGAATAACAAAGGTTGCTCCTATCACTCCTGTCATTTCGGCAGTTCCAAGAGTTTTAGGAACTCTGCCAGGAACCTGGGACAAAGACGAAATACATATTTCTTACTATACCACATCAGTATATCCCCATATCTCCCCTAATTCTAAGACTCTGAATGAACACTTTCTCGTCCTTAAAAATAGAAGATAAAGTCTCTTGTCCCATTCCATCTTAATACAGAAGTGTTCGAGAAGTTGTTCAAAGGATACTTGAGTTTTTATTGGTGGAGACTATCCAATAGAAGCACATCACTACTGGCACGTTCAGGGTCTCCCAGGCCCGATTCAGGCCTCAGCTCTTGGCCCCTCGCAGGATGTTTTCCTCACAGGTTCCTACTGGTCTAGACAGAGAAGTTGGTTTTCTCTTCCCCTACTCCATGTCCCAAATGACTGCCTTATTATCTGTTATAGAGCTTTAGCTTTGTTTCTTTGTTTCTAGAGTTTCTTTGTTTCTTTCTGAGAACCCCTCAGTCTAGATCTTTCGGTAATTGGTAATATGTGGTCTCTAGATCAGCATCCAGGTTCTAGGACAGGAAATCTTGTCAGAGAAGATGGAATCTGCAAGCTGCCAGGTGGGGGAAGTGGAGTGCCATCTTGAAATGGGGCCTCAGGAGCTGGGAGTTCAGGACTCACCCTGCAGGCCTCTGGAGCCTCCAAGCCAGACCGTGAAAGAGGAGTCTGACATGGAACAAGAATTAGGTGAGAAGCAGTTCAGTTACTTGTAGTGTTGTGTGATGCTTTCTTGGGGAGTTTTGGGGATTGTGGTTAGTGGGCCTCAGAGTGAGTTGAAAATGAGGGGCTGCCCAGATGAGGGTATCTCTGGAAAGTTTGGAACAGGGTAGATCTACTGAATCACTCTGATTTGGAGATTGTCTGTGAATCTCCTTTTTGACTGGGCCAGACCATTTGAATGTTGGTTCTGAGGAAAGGGGAAGGAAGGAAGGGGAAAATACGGGTGAGGCTGCTTGCAAGGTTGTGGGGAGTCGGAGTTTGTTAGGGAGGTAAACATGAGTCTTGACATCATGGATGGTGGGACATGCATTAGTTCTCATTTGTGACAGTTTTTAATCCGTGCCCTCCAGGGGGCAGATTGCAATGACATCTGATCTTCAAACTTTCTGTTCCTCCCTTCAGCGATGACTGCTGCTCCATGTCCCGCCCCACCAGAGGAAAGGCTTGTCAGAGACCAGGACTTCGGAGCCTCCTTTCTCCAAGCAGCACCTCCGGTGAGCTGGCTTCCCTGCCTCTCTCACCCCAGAGCTGGGGCTTGAGGGTGTCAGCAGTCAGGAGGGTGGAAAGGGGACACGTTCTCAGAAGCGGAGGGGAAAGGACAACAAGAACGATACACATGGAATGAAACCCATGTGTCTCAGAATTTCCCTCGAGGCAGAATGTTTAGCAATGATCTCGATAGTGGAATCTGGGTCCTGGAAGAAGTGGCCCTCTTGTTTCTCCCTTTTCCTATTCCTTGGGTTATGCTGAGAAAAGGCTCTGCTTCATATCCTGGTCTAGGCCTTGCCCATAGGAGTCAGTCTGAGATTTTGAATGCTTCTATCTAATGTGGGACAGGTGGCCTCCCCCAGCTTTACGGAGGCGTAACTGACAAACGGCAAACTGCAGTTACTTCAGGTGTATAGTTTGGTAAGTTTTTGACACGTACACACACATGTGAAACCATGACCACAGTCAGGATGATAAACAGACTTGTTATGCCCAAAGGTTTCCTTTTGCCCTTTTGTGATCCGTCCCTCCTGTTCCCCACACTCCCTCAGTCCTGAGATCCTGAGGCCACCACTGAGCTGCTTTCTGTCACCATACGTTAGTTGGGATTTTCTGGAATTGTATGTCAAATGGAATCATGCCATCTGGACTCTTCCCTTTGTTTTTTTTGCGTGTAAGTTTTCTTCTTTTAGTATTTTCTCAGTGGTTTTTAACAGTTGGACTATGATGGACCTGGAAGTCATTTTCTTCATGTCTCTTATAGTTGGGATTCTTTGGAAATTTTGGATCTGTGGATTTATAGTTTACAACAAATTTGGAAGAATTTTGGCCAGTATTTCTTCAACTGTTTTGTGTCTCCCTTCCTTCTCCACTTCTTTGTAGACTTTGAGAATAACACCATATGGGTTGTATAGAATGACAACGTGACATATGTTAGATCTCTTGAGGTTGTCCCAGAGCTTACTGATGCTCTTCTCTCTTTAAAAAAAATCTGTTTTATTTTGGATAGTTTCTGTTTATGTGTCTTCAGGTTCACCAGTCCTCTCTTCCAAAGTCTAATCCACCGTTAATTCCATCCTGTGTAGTTTTCGTCTCTAGAAGTTTGAATTGCGGCTTCGTTATATTTTTCATGTCTGTACTTAACATGTTGGGTCTTTCCTACACCGCCCTGAACATGTAGGATGTGGCTCTGCCATCTGTGTTAATGTCCTTGTCTACTACTCTATCACCTGTGTCATTTCTGAGTCACTTCTGATGGATTGATTCATCTCATTTTGAGGTGTTTTCCTCTCCTTTGTGTGCCCAGCAACCTTTGACTGGATGTCGGACATGGTGAATTTTACCTTGCTGGGTGCTGGGTGTTTTGACATTCCTCTAAATGTTGTTGAATTTTGCTCTGGCATATGGTTGAGTTACTTGGACATAATTTGTGTTATGGCACCAGAGAAGTCTTTAGTCTGGGCTTATACTTTTCCACTACCGGCAATACCTTTTCATGTATTCTTCCCGATGCTGCCTGATGTACAAGGTTTCCACTCTGGCTGGTAGAAAATAACTGTTTCCAGCACCATCCAGGCTCTGTTTCCTCTGCTTCTTTTGGGGGATCTTTCCCAGACTTGTGGGGGACTCTGTGTGCATCTCTGGAGCTCGCTCTCTTTTCAGCTTCCCACCCTGGTCTTTTGTCTTGGTAACTATAACTGCCCTCACCACCCCAAATTCTGAGCTCCTTCTGCCAGCTCAAGGGGGAGGAGGCTGTCTGCCTCTACCTGGCCCCACCACCTCTGCTTCCTGGGCTGCTCTCTCCAGGCAGCAAGTTTGGCCAATGCAGGGCTCCCTCCCCTCATTCACTTCCTCACTTTTAGGGATCTCTGCTCTGCTCTGCCTGGCACATGATGTCTGCGAACCATTGTGTTGCACACTGTGTCCTCTTTTCAGTTGTTGCTGGTGGGAAGGTAAATCCGGCCTCTGTTACTCCATCTTGGCTGTGAGCAAGTTTGGGAACAGGTTTATTTTGAACACGTAGTTAAATTAACAACTCAGAAAAGTTGGTTCGATTAAAAATAAGGTTTTTCTGGAACCTGTACATCTTGATCAAAGCATTGTTTCAGACCATGGGGGAACCCTTCTTGGACTTGCCTCTGGGGTACTTGGAGCGAAGGTCAAGGTAGGGAAGCCAGTAGGTGGTTCTTGGTGTGATGCTCAGGCCAGGCGTGAGCCTCAGCCTTCGCAGGCTCGGAGATACAGAAACCAGAAGATCTGCTTCACACAGTTTACCCTGGGGGGAGGCCCAGACCTTTTTAGTGACTCAGGGATACTTGTCTTCCTACTTTCCAGAGACCTAGAAAGCAAATTTTTAGGCAGGAGGTTTATATTGACAACGATTTGGGTATTCTGTTAGACATTTCAAGCAGACATGGAGGATTATTATTGCCTCTGTAGTAAGTACAGAGTATCTGTATGAAAGGTCTGTAACAATTTCTTAACATACTTGAACCAGTAGAGTTAAGCATTAACAATACATAAGGTAACAACATGAACCATGACTTGGTTTGAATAGCTCAAATCAAAAGACTAAAAATGTTCAGCAACACCGTGTGTGTGTGTGTGTGTGTGTGTGTGTGTGTGTATGTATGTATATTTCCCTACATTGCAGATAACTGATAGCCACTCAGCCCAAACAAAAGTCACTCTTGTCCAATCCCAGCATCCCTGCTCCAACCTCTAACTTCTAACAAAACTCCTAACAAAAGCCATTTGCATCAGAAGGACCTTGATATTTAATGGATATTTCGTGAAGGGAGGGAGATATTAAAATGGATGTAATCACTCCCTCTGCTGTCTTTTACAGGTTGGGAGCTTCGTGAGTAATGCCAGAATAATGAGGTAGCCTGCCTGCACAGTCGTCCTTCGTTGTTAGGCACCGTGACTGAGTTAGAGCCTCATACAGGTTCAGTCCTGTGTTTTCTGGCTTCAGGAAGGGAGCCCTGTGCAGAGAACTCTGCGCAAGTCTGTTGTGCAGTGTCTCCTGGGCCCACAAGGTGGTGCTGTCTCCACACAGAAAGATTACATTTGATAAGCGTCACCATTCTGTCCTTCTGGAGTAGGAATTGAGATTTTTAATTTTCTCTTTTTATAAAAATGAGGAAGAGGCAAGACGGGTGCAGGTGTGTCTTGCCTGTTACAGTCAGGGCTTGCTTCACTCATCCCCAGCGTCTTGGCAATTTCTTGAGTGAGTGTGTGGCTTCATGTGGAGATACGCTGTTTAGAGCCCTCCTGAAGCATCTTTTCTGAATTTTGAATGAGCTGATTGTGGCTCTTGGGGATTTTGGGGGCCGCACTCTCTGTTGACTTGTACTCTCCTTGGGGGCTCCCATTCCGGTGCCCATAGAACCGACCATGTGTCCAGCAGGCCGGGCCGCCGAGCAGTCACGCCCATGCTTTGTGAGCCCGTTACTCTCTCGCGGCCACCAGAGCAAGGGTCTGTGTCTTCTGATAGAGAAGATTGAAGGGACCCCTATTCAGCAAACTGGTTATTTGCTCAAGCTGGCTCTTTTCAGCAGGTTGTTAAGGTAGCTTCACTCACAGATTAAGAAAATAAGCTCACAACTCGATGAATTCCTTTACATTTTTATTATTAAAATTCAAATTAAAAGTGTGGTTATAGGGACACCTGGATGGCTCAGTCCGTTAAGTGGCTGCTTTTGGCTCAGGTCATGATCTGGGAGTCCTGGGATCGAGTCCCGCATTGGGCTCTCTGTGCAGCAGGGAACCTACTTCTCCCTCTGCCCGCTGCACTCCCTGCTTGTGCTGTCTCTCTCTCTGACAATTAAATAAATAAAATCTTTAGAAAAATGTGGTTATAATTAATCCTTAAGTATATGGTAAAATATATTAGTCACTTTTCACTTAAAAAAAACAACAACAACATTTTATTTATTTTAGAGAAAGCTAGAGTATGAGCAGGGGGAGGAATGGGGGAAAGAATCTTAGCAGAGCCCCACACGGGCCCAATCTCAGACCCTGAGATTGTGACCGGAGCTGAAATCAAGAGTCGGACACTTAACCAACTGAGCCACCCAGGAGCCCCCACTTTTCACATTTTTATCTTAAAAAAAGAAAAAAAAATAATCCAACTCGTCTTTTGCTTTTTAAAATTTTCACTTAGTATCTGCTCATTGCAGACTTTTGGTATCTTCGTTCTTTTTCAGGTCTTCGCTTCCCTTTTGTGTGCTGTGGGGCAGGCTTGATTTAAGACTGAGAATGGCTTCCCTGAGTATACCTGTTTGTAGGAGGATCTCATTTTCTTATTCGTCCTCCTCATTTTTGCCCCCCGTAGCTAGCAGTTTGTGATAATAATGGATGGCTATCGGCTTTGAGGTTCCTGAAAGCGTATAGGACCCCTTAATTCTCAAACCCTTGGTGGAGAGTCTGGGAGTCCAAGTATCCCATAGACCACATGTAAGATAATAACGGTAATAAATGTATCACTTCCTGAGGAGTTACTTGCTGAGGGCTTTGTTTCTCCCGGACAACATACATGGAGTCCCCTCTTTGCCCTGGGCGTTGTTGTGGGGACGGAGAAGGCACAGTAGCTCATATAGCTCATGCGCTAGAAGGGGCAGGTCTTAGAGACTTGTGTGTGCATGTGTGTGTACACACACAGATGTGTAAGCATTCGACAAACAGCTGAATGCTGTGAATGAAGACTACAACATGCTGTGAAAACAAGTGACGCCTTACTTGTTAGCTTTTGCGTTTCATGCTCTAATCAAGTAAGGATGGAGACTCAAAGGTTATGTGGCTTAGGCTCACACAGGAAGCCCCTGTGTCTGAATCCAAGGGCTGTGCTGTTCATGAATCCCACCTGTGTACAGACCGAGTCTCTAACAGTCAGCTCCTTGGGGGCAAGATTGGAATTTGAATTCACAGGAGATCCCAGTTAGGCAGAGTTCCCAGTTTTGAGCCCCTGCTCTCCAGTTTCCTAGGCAAAGAAGGGCATGCTTTGGGGGTAATTGGGGCGCATCTTGTTCCAGAGAACCCATCGTTTTTCCACCAAGTGGGACGAAAACTGGTCTAATGTTAGACCTTAAACTCAGAACCGTTGGAGGGTTTCCATGCGTGCATGGAGGCAGCGTCCGTTTCTGCCTGGAATCCACTGATCTGTGTCCCAGAGACATTGCAGTTGATGTCCTCATGGGCTTTTGCCACCTTTTTGCTGATTTGCGCTTGCATTTCCAACACATTCCCTTTTAATTTCTTTTCCCTCTTGAATGTCCAGATTTTAATGAAATGTTGGGACTCTCAGGCTCCTACCATTCAAAGACCTCTATTATAAGCACTGTGTTAAATGAAAAAACTAAAGGCCAGTGTAGAAAAGGCCTGTGCCTTCTCTCTATGCCCTTTAGTCTTAAATATGTGCAACTGGAAAAAAAAATCCAGAACCTTAAAACCTGTTTTCTAACCAGGGCAAGAAATAGTGATGTGGAGACTGTAGGTTTTTTGCCCTTGGCCTCTTTGGTGAGCCACCTCCCACCATCCTTAGCTCTTTGGATGGGCTGCTAGGGCACGGTCCTGTTTCCCTCGAGGTGGGGAAGGCGGGTTCACAGACCTGCAGTGAAGTCACGACATTGTGTGCTTTCTAGGAGCAGTGGAGGCACTTGGATTCCTCGCAGAAGGAGCAGTACTGGGATCTCATGCTGGAGACCTACGGAAAGATGGTGTCCGGAGGTGAGGGCATGTGCTAGTCTGACGGGAGGAGGTGTGAAACATTTCCCGTGTCTCCTTAGAGACAACCACTTCACTTCACGTTCCCTGGGGAGGGGAGGGCATGAGGTGTACATCTGGGAACTGGAGATAGCACTTTATCTTTTTTTTTTTTAATTAATTTTATTTATTTATTTGAGAGAGAGAGAGAATGAGAGAGAGCATGACAGGAGAGCGAGCAGTCAGAGGGAGAAGCAGACTCTCTGCCGAGCGGAGAGCCCGACTTGGGACTCGATCCCGGGACTGACCAGGATCATTACCGGGAGCCAAACGCAGTTGCTTAGCCAACTGAGCCACCCAGGCGCCCCTGGAGACAGAAGTTTAGTGAGAGTTTCCTTGTACTGAAAGGATTCCGTCTGCTTGGAACTGTCACGGCTGCATTCCATCGTAACTCCCGAAATCTATGAGATAGGTGATGGTCTCCCCATGTTGGAGATGACCATGGCTGAGTGTCAGATCAAGCCACATGCTCACTGTTAACGTAGCTCGCGAGTGCTGAGTTATGACAGAACTCCGTGTGTCTGACAGAGTCCACGCTCTGTGCCACTACACTGCACCGTCCCACCAACCATTGGCAGGGCCCAGTCACGAGCCTGGCACCTGCCAGGTGGTGTGGAAGACCTGCTGGTCACCTGTCCACACTCTTCTTTTTTGTGACCTTCACCATATATCTCGGTCATGTTGTGAGTTACTGGTGTCTTAGAAGCTCCCAATAGCCCTCTAAGATCTATCTTTCTTTCTTCCTTTTTTTTTTTTTTAAAGATTTTATATACTTGAGATGGGGAGAGGGAGAGAGAGCATGAGCAGGGGGCTGGGGAGAAGCAGACTCCCCATTGAGCAGGGAGCCTGATAAGGGCCTCGATCCTGGGACCCCGAGACCATGATCTGAGCCAAAGGTAGATGCCTAACCAACTGAGCCACCCAGGCGCCCCTTGACATAAGTTTTTTGAGTGGTCTCCAGATCCTTCGTGTTTCCCTTTCACGGTCAGGTTGTACCTTTGAAGGACACAGCTTGGTCCCCAGTTCTCCCCATTCATCTAGGCTTCCTATTATCTCTCTGTGTGCCAGGCATTTCCAATTCCAAGTCTGATCTGACTAATTCAACCGAATATGGGGAAGAGCTGGCAGGGCTGCACCTCCATGTTGGCGAGAAGATCCCAAGACCACCCTGCGTTGGTAAGTGATCTTTCATTTCTGACCTGTCATTAAATCAGAAGTGGTGGGGGAGGTACTAGGACCTAATGTCTACGAGCTTGTCTGTAACTAGCCATGATCCGGTCAGCCCGGTGTGAGTGCTGAGGTTGGGTCTCCTCGTTTCTGGTATGGGGCTGTTGATGCGTTTATATGTGAGCATGGAACAGAGACCACACATGGACCTGCTGCCTTCCGTCTTGTGTGCCGTGAGGGCTTGCTTTCTCAGAGAGAGTAAGATTAGGACAGATGGAGACCGATACAAATAGGAGTCGAATTCCATTGCAAAAAGGTGACATAACAGCAGTCCCTTCCTGACTCCTTTGTTTTTCTTCTCTCTTTCTTTCTTCTGGTTCTAGCGAAATGAGTGCTAATTAAGATAAAACAGAAAAACATGTTTAACTAATCGCCAAGCATCTAACTTTCACTAACCAGCAGCAACGACAAGCACTTTTTATAAATTGTGTATTTTAAGACTAGAGAGGAAGAGATACATGACCTTGTTCTGTTGTAATTTAGCAATCACCCTTTGTTTGCTGCACTCTGTTTCAAACATTGCAGTCACTAACACCTACCTGTCATGCATACCCACGCAACCCCCACCCAACACCCTTCTCCATAGACAAGAGATCCCAGAACTGCAGGAAGAAAAGGACGAGGGATGCCCAATTATATGACAAGTCATTCTTTCTCCTCAGTGGGATTGAATTAATTATTTTCCTTTGCTAACGTGCTACAGAGACAGCAAGCATCAAATGAAACATACGATTTTAATTCTGACTGATATGTTTATCATAAGACCATTCCACAAGGTTTCCTCTGGAGCGGTATTTTTCAGACTGCGTTTAATGACCAATCAGCATAGTATAAAATCATCTTCTAGGTTGCAACTAGCATTTAAAAATTGCAATGATAAGACTGAGTAGAAAATATCAGAATGCAGACAGAAAATATCAAATGTTAGGGTACGTAGCATTTCAGGAAATTTTTGTTCCAAATATGGGTGTGCATTTTGTATCTCAATATTTTTTATTTTTTCTCTTATATTTCTTACTGTGGGTAGGAGACAAGAAGAGTTTGAAAACACTGCTTTAGAGGTTGTTGCAGTAGGATTTTTGCCTTATTTTTTCTTTTTAAAGATTTTTAAAAATTTATTCATGAGAGACAGGGAGACAGATGCAGAGGGAAAAGCAGGCTCCCCGCTGAGCAGAGAGCCCAGTGTGGGGCTCGAATCCAGGACCCTGGGATCATGACCTGAGCCGAAGGCAGAAGCTCAACCGACTGAGCCACCCAGGCGCCCCGGATTTTTGTTTTCATAGATTCTATTTTCCGGAGCAGTTTCAGATTCATAGTGCAGTTAAACGGAAAGGACAGAGATTTCCCAAATGCTCCTGGCAGGGGGATTTTATTTGTGATACGTAGTGATATACATGATGATATATTTGTGATTTATAGCTTACATTTCCCCACTTACTCTTTTTTTTCCCCTCCTCCTTCAACCCACCTGCTGACATGGTCCCATTAGATCTTACCTTGAAAGAGACTGCGGAGCCTCTATAAAACTAGTCTGCATTACTTAAAAGGGCAAAGAAATGCCGTTGTCTGAAGGAGAGGCTATGTGGGAAGAGAGGCCAGGGAGGTAGGCACGTGCAGGCTGGCCTGGAAGGAGTGCTTGAGGAGCCCTGCGGAAAGTCGGTGCCGGAGCCAGGGGTGCAGGGACGGGCCCCGGACTAGTGTGGGAACAAGTGACAGGACCAGAGAGGGCTGGCCCCATCTAAAAGACAAAACAGCCATTCTACCAGATCTGGACTCACACCGAGGGGGCAAAAGTCTCGGGAGAGAACGTGTGCTGTTTGTTTGACCATATGGGGGAATAGCTCCTAGTTAAAGCAGGCCAGCAGGGGAGTAAACCTCAGAAAGCCCTGTACTTGCCTCCTGTCAAAATCCCGAGGGACTTACCCCATTCCCCCAAACAAAATTACTTGGGAAAATGAATCTCCAGTAGTTATCTGGGAGAATGCTGCAAGAATACGCAAGAGTCTTGGAAGAAGAATGTTTCATCAGCATTAGGTCTCTAAATATTAAGAGTGTCAGTTTCACTCGGCTGGCTCAGCAGTGGAGCGTGTGACCCCACCCCGGGGCCATGAGTTTGAGCTCCACATTGGGTGTGGAGCCCACGTAAAAAAAAAAAAAAAGAATTCGTCATTTTAGAAAGGTGAAGTCATTAAAATGAGGGGATATATAAAAATAGCCTCCCAGACTGATGGAACAGAAAAGGGAGCCTCGGAAGGGACACGGGTCTGTATGGGGATTTAGCGTGTGGCGGAGGAAGAGGGAGCACGGGTCCATGGGGGGAGGGGTTCTTCATCAATCGGTTTAAATTTGAGGAAAAAGATATAAAATGTGAAAATAATAATAGGAAAGGATGTAGATGACTGTTTGTCTCACATCTGGAGCGGCGAAGATTTTATCAGTATAAAAGCCACGGAAGAAAACAGTTAAGGAAAAGTGATAAGAGTTGAGTATATTGAAAAATAAAACCACGCCACAACTTACCCATATACATAAATAACCCCAAACAAAACTAAGGTAACTAAATTGGTGAAAAACATTGTTCATTAACATGACGGATTAATGATTATTTTTCTTAATATAGAGAGAGTTCATGCAGGTTAATAAGAAAAAAAATGACTTTCTCAATAAAAATGGGCAGCAGTCTTATGAAAAATAGCTCATAAATATGAAAAAAATTCATCCTTTATTAAGTAAGGAATAAAATTTATAACAACAAAAACCTTATTTCTTTTGACTGCTCTCAGTGGCCAATATCTTAGAAATCGTCAGTATTTAAGTACTGAATGCTCTCCTTCACTTAGCGCAGCTGCTCCTAGCGGGGGGGTCATAGTCCTTCTGGAGATGGATTCACTAGTCAGTGTCAGGAGCCTCAGGAGGAGCGTTCACGTCTGTGGACATGGTACTTACACTTTAAGGAATCTGAAGTGGTTAGAAATGTGGACGAAGAAAGATTACCCCAGAAACCACAACAGACAGCTTTGATTTCCACAGTAGGAGGGTTCCTTCAGGAAGTCATGTGCTATGTCTTAGGTGTTTATGGTGACGTCTCCATGGTGGACCGTTGTTCTGCTTTAAAGTGGAATTTACAGAGGCTTCTTTAAAGACAAGAGGAAAAGTACCTTTGTCATTTGAGAGGAATGTGTTCTAAGACTCTGTGAACTAACAAGTCAGAGCTAAGTTGTTGGCAGATTCCTGGGTCTCTCGCAGATAATTTGAAGACACTAATACAGGAAAGGAAAGGTGCATAGCTTCCTTAGATCTGCAGGAGGAAAGTAATTTTTCAAAAGTTGGAAACAAATTCTTCCACCAAAATAAAGGCCTTTATGCTATGTATCATTTAGTGGTAATAACCAAAAACTTAATTTAGGAGGAAAACAAGCTATTTTTTAAAAAGATTTTTATTTATTTAAGAGAGAGAGAGAGAGAGCGCACACAGGGAGAGTGGAAGAGAGAAGCAGACTCCCTGCTGAGCGCAGAGCCCCATGTGGGGCTCGAACAGAAAACCCTGAGACACTTAATCTACTGAGCCACCCAGGTGCCCCGAGAAACACAGCATTTTAAGTTAATCCGAGTTAGTGAAACACAGGTGAATGCTGCATTGAGGCACAGGCTGAGGGACCCACGTCTGTGCTGTACCCTCACTGTGCATTAAAGCCACACAGTAAGGGGACACATTAATGCATTTCATGAAGTTTTAGGTGACTTGTGAATCGGAGAATCCATGTGAAATTGGTAAATAGTGCTTTACAATTTAAGTGCCACAAAGCCAGGTATGGAATGGTGTATACGATACGATGTCAGTTATGTAAAAAAAAGAAAAAGTAGCGCACGCGTACATACATAACCATGTATATAAACGGTAGATATGCATGGGTCAGACAGACACGGGGAGGAAATGTATAATCACGGTTGCTCCCTCTGGGTGGTATGATTGAGGTTAGTCTGGTTTTCTTCTGTTTTTCTCTCCAAATTTTTATTAGTGATCAGACTCACGTTTTCCGTAGAACCAGATAAAAACGAGTCCTTTTTCAGAGGAACACACTGCTGTAATACACTTGGTTTCCCTGGGCCTTAAGAAATGCAGGCTGCTCCGGGTGCCTGGCTGGCTCTGTCCGTGGAGCGTGCGACTCTTGATCTCGGAGTTGTAGTTTTGAGCCCCATGCTGGGTGTGGAGATGACTGAAAAAGAAAATCTTAAGAAATGCATGCCGCTTATTTACGGGGGCAGAGCCCCCTGTGTGTCCCCTCCACTGTCACACATTCTCCTCGGCTCTAGTGCCGGACCTCTTAGCCTGGACCCCAGCAGTGAGTGCCAGGCACTTGGGCTGGATGATACCATCCTTCCTCACTCACTGATGCCCTCTTGACAAGAAGAATTAATGTTTCACGACAACCCTTTTCCCGACATACCGGTTAGAAAACAGGGCATCCCATTGATGGAACGATTCCAGATCTTCTTTCTTCTTCCAGGAGACAGGCAGGAGAACGACAAAGAGAACGTGAATTTGGAAAATTGTAGAGGCCAGGAAGCCTCCGATGTCTCCTGTCAAGCATCAGGAGAGGCACCTTCGCAGGCTTCCTTGGGTGGCCTCTTCAGTGAGGATGAACCGAGATGCTTCGGAGAAGGGGACAGTCTCCCCGAGGCTCTGGAACACTTGCAGGGGGAGGGGCCAGCCGGCCAGCTCTCGCCCCACGGAAGGAATTCTGGGAAACCGCATCTGGCTAATCCCCATCCAGAAGAACTGTCCCTGCCCTGGCTGGAGGAGAGGAGGGAGGCCTCCCCGAGAGGGCAGCCGAGAGCCCCCATGGCCCAGAAACTCCCCACTTGCAGGGAGTGCGGGAAAACCTTTTATAGGAATTCTCAGCTGGTTTTTCACCAAAGGACTCACACCGGAGAGACATACTTTCAGTGCCCCACCTGCAAGAAAGCCTTTCTGCGGAGTTCAGACTTTGTGAAGCATGAGAGGATCCACACGGGAGAGAAGCCTTGTAAATGCGATTACTGTGGCAAAGGCTTTAGCGACTTCTCGGGGTTGCGTCACCACGAGAAGATCCACACGGGAGAGAAACCCTATAAATGTCCCATCTGTGAGAAAAGTTTTATTCAGAGATCCAACTTTAATCGACATCAGAGAGTTCACACAGGAGAGAAACCTTACAAGTGTTCCCGCTGCGGGAAGAGTTTCAGCTGGAGCTCAAGCCTTGATAAACATCAAAGGTCCCATTTAGGAAAGAAGCCCTTTCAGTAGTCAGGCGCTCTCAGCCCAGTTCTGGCTCTGGTCCTTTTAAAAATACTTCGTTCCATCTGGAGAAATTGCAGCTCTTAAAGACCAGCCCTGTTCTGTGTTTTCTTCGGGGATGAGAGAGGAGAGTTACCCGAACGCGGCTGTGGACTGGGAGGACACGGTGGCCTCTGGGTTGGATTTTGCGTTGGTTTAGTTTCTTGCTTCTGCGTCAGGAGAAAGAATAGTCTTCCTCTTTCAGCTCATCTCTTTTTGGATCCCTTGGGGAAGAAAGCAGTCCTTGGAAATCCCGTTTTACAGGTGCTGTGTCGGGAGAGTTGAACCGGATTAGCCACAGTTGGTGCTCATGGGAAGGACCTCAGCCCGGCTCTTTGGGTTGGGGGTCGTGGAGCAGGTCTCCTGTTACAGAAGGGGCAGCGGGAGGGCCAGTGAGCTCCCGTGTGTTGTCAGACAGGTACAAAACTAACTTCAGGTGTCCCTCGTTTTAAATAAACTTCTTAAAGCCACTCCTGGTCTTATTTGTGTCTCTAGTGTCAACTGTGTTTTAACTGTAACTCAAAGCGCATTTTCTCACAGAAGCCCCTGAATGGTGGTTGAGCTCCTCATCATCCCGTACAAACTTACCAAGTTTATCAGTCAGCTGAAGAGGGATAGGAAACCGCTAACCTGGTGTCCAGGTGTAAGAGCTCGCTTAGTGCTGGGCATTCTTTCTCTCAGGTAACTGTGTGTCATCTCTGGTGTCCTTCTGAGCTCACCTCCCACTTGCTCACCTGCCTCAACCTGCCCCTCTTTCTCCCGGCTGTCAGTTTTCCAAAGTGTTGTGTGCTTTAAAATGATTTATTTATTTTTTTTAAAGCAGGCTCCATGCCCAGCGTGGAGCATAGAGCGGGGCTTGAACTCAGGACCCTGAGATCAAGACCTGAGCTGAGATCGAGTGGGACGGTGAATTGACTGAGCCACCCAGGCACCCCTAAATGATCTTCTTGATCTCCTGTTGTCAGTAGGTATCAGGAAGAAGTCAGTAGTGTTGATCTACTTTCAGTTCTGTCTGGAGGGGGGACATGTTTGTCTAACCCGTGCACTTTGTCCTTCCTTCAGAATCACATGCCCCACAGTGTCTTGCTCCGCCTTCCTTCTGTCTTGGTCCTCCTCTCCCCTGCTCTCGTTTTACTGTTGCGGAGGACCGGGAAGGCTGAGGCTCCTGAGGAGGGCAGAACTCTTTCCCTGCACAGATTAATCTAGTCACAAACCTGTAGGTTGTTGGCAAGTATGTTACGGGTTTGATGAGGAAAGAAAAAACACAAGTTGGAATTCCTGGATTCCAGAGGAATTTGTTAACTCCCTTATGACTCGTCATTAGGGGGTGCAGGAACCACAGGGCAGAAAGCCAGGAAAATCATGGAGGAATTAGCATTTGATTTTGTATTTGGTACAGCAGAGATTTATAGGGTGCTGGGATTTTATTTATTTATTTACTTATTATTTATTTGACAGAGCGCAAGCAGGGTGTAGTGGCAGAGGGAGGGGGAGAAGCAGGCTTCCCACTGAACACGGAGCTGGATGCAGGGCTTGATCCCAGGACCCTGGGATCCTAACTGGAGCTGAAGGCAGACACTTAATTGACTGAGCCACCTGGGCACCCCAGGATTTTATGTTTCAGATCAGTTCTGCAGATGTGTTCCCTGGACCAGCAGCATCGGAAGTTTGTTAGACTTACTGAATCATAAATTCTGAAGGGTGGCCCCCAGCAGTCTTTGTTTTAACCAGCCCTCCAAGGGGACTCTGGTGTCTGCTTAAGTGTTAGGGCCAATGTTCTAAGTCATAATTCATTAAAGATAGGCAAGATTAAGGATTCTAGAAGGAATACTGTGCCCTCTTGGACTCTTCTGGGTACCCAGGCCTCCCTATAAGAGCTCTTTAGAACTGTGGAACTCTTTGGGCTTCCAGTGAAAATTTGTTCCATAGAGAAAAATCTAGAAAACTGTTAGGTTAAAAAGCTTGAGGTGAAGGGTTTCTTTGTGGGTCCCTCTTAAATGATCTGCAGGATGATAGAGGTACAAGGAAACAACCTACCTCGTTCACAGTTGTGGTCTCAGCAAACCTTAGGTGTTTAACCAGTTGAAGGCATGTGTGGATTAATGAAGGATAGATAGCATAGGTGTGCTTCCCTTATCCTCTAGAGCAATGATCTGCAAAATATGGCCGACCGTCTGTTTTTGCAAATAAAGTTTTTTTGGAGCCCAGCCACACCCACTTATGTATGTGCTGTGGCCACTTTGGGACCACGGTGGCAGCGTTGAGTCACTGCAACAGAGACAAAGGCCCTGCAAAGCCTAAACTCTTTACTGTCTGGCCCTTGACAGAAAAAGCTGGGCGATCCCTGATCCAAAGTACTCTTAAACCGTAAAGTGCATATGTATCACCCAGGGAGCTTGTCAAAATGTAGACTCGGGGGTGAGCTGATGTGTCTAGTCTCCAGAGTAGCTGGGAGCTAGAGCACTGAGTGTTGGGTACCAGCATCAGGGCTCAAGTGTTTGTGGTTCATTTCTCTCAGTCTCTTCAGGATCATGTATGACTCTTTCGCTCTCACAGCTGGGACCAGACACACTCGAAGAATCAATCACTTTATTAGGTAAGGTGCAATGTTATGAAATGTTTCTCTCCTAGTTCTGTATTCCTCTAGCTCTGCCTTGCTTTAGGCACTTCTCTCCGGGTTCCCTACAAGAATTCTACAGAATTGTGAGTACATGTGATTCTTTATCTATGCATCTCCGTCTCCCCTCCCCCACTTGTCCTGGGCAGCCTGCAGCCCAGCCTTGTTTTCTTAGTGGTTCTGCAGGCAGCTAAGTCTGGAGAAGCAAAGCGACTCCAGCCAGAACCCACTTAGATGGATTCTCCTTAGTCTTCAGGTTGAAAGTCCACACGTAGGTGGGTCCCCGCTGGCAAGTCTTGTACACAGGACAAGGATAGACGCTACGGTGGTCCTGCTTATCTGCGGGAATGGCCTTGATGAACATCACAGGCATGGGGGGTGTCAGATCCTTCAGCTTTGCCTCTGTAATGATCCCAGCCTGAGGACAAGAACAGGAAAAGAGCCAGCTTACATCAGACCCAGAGTCTGACGAGCCAGCCTTCTGCCTTTCAGGTTCGCTCAACAACCCGTGTTGGAATGCATCTGAGATGCGAAAAACCTACTTCTGCTGTTTTCCAGCCTAAATCACTTTTTGAAGGAGAGTTCTAGAAGTTGTTATGTGTCTCATACAAATTAATCCCTTTGAAACTTGAGTCTCTATATTTTTTCATCCTTTCGTTTCATAACCGTATCAAATGCGACTGTTTGCCAGATGTTGTCATGCTAGGTGCTAGGGATTTAAAGACGAGGAAGACACAGTTCCTGCCAGCAAATGCTTTAAATTTTAAGAGTTTGGTTATGTCCTGTTCAGTCTCCTGTGGGACCTCATCCGCCCTCAAGAGCATTTTGACTTTGAGCAGAGCTATATTCTATCTTTACTCATGTGACAGGGTGGACCTGACTAGTCTGTAGCTTTCCAGTTGGGAACTCTGTGGTTTTCTGAGACATCCCATTAGATCTGGGACAGTTTATTATTTTTTTAAAATTAATGAATTTATTTATTACTAGTCCTGAGAAATGTTTTGAGGAACAAAAGGCTTCCTTCATCAAATAAACTTGGGAAATGGTCTTTATCATACCCTGGGCTTGAAGCTTTATAGTGCACTCTAGCACACTGAAGACAAGAAATCCTAGCAGTAAAGAAAAGAGATGAACTTTATTTAACCTGGGTTTCCCCAAACTTATTTGACCACAGGACTCTTTTCTTTGCAACCTATTTATTTCCCAAGACACTAGTGTTTTATGGAACGTACTTTGGGAAATGTTGATCCAAAGCGATTCACAGATTTCTTGCTTTTGTCCTGGTGATTCAGCTCCTTCTACTATGGATAGAGCTTGGCTCATTTCCCATAAAGTTTATTTAAAGGGGAGAATGTGCCTTTTCGGTGCTATGAGAAACTGGTATAAGGCGTGAAGAGTAACAGAACTAAGGTAAACGGTGGGGGCCCATTTAACCTGAACAACTTTATGGCAGGGAGTGGGAACAGGGGTAGAACCTTTCTTTTTTCCCCACATATCATAAACACCAGCCCTTTTAGAATGTATTGAATTCAGTGTTTTTTAATGTACAGTCTTTGCATTGTAATTCCAGAACATTTTCATCACTCCCGAAAGAAACTCTAACCATTAGCACTTACCATTAGTAGTGGGGTATTGATGTCTCCAGTTACTGTGGTTGAATTCTCTATTTGGATGACATATTTGTTTCCATCTCTTTATTTTCAGTTTATTGTGTCTTTGAATCTAAAGTGTATTGCTTGTAGACAGAGTATAGTGGCAACAGAAAAATACATTCTGCCATTCTCTTCTTTTCAACTGTAGAGTTTAATCTATTTACATTTAATGTAATCACTGATAAGGTGAGGTTTACCTCTGCCCCTTAACTATTTGCTTTCTATGTCTTCTGTCTTTTTTGTTCCTCAGTTTCTCCTTTGCTGCTTTCTTTTCTATTCAATAGATATATTTTACTGTACCATTTTGATTCCCTTGTTATTTCATTCATTGTTTTAAAAAAATATTTTCTTAGTGGTTTCCCTATGGATTACAATTAACATCAATGTATAAAAAATCTACTTCAGGCTAATACCAACTTAATTTCAGGAGTATACAAAACCTTTATTCTTTTATAAGTTCCATTCCTTATCCTTCCTGTGCTTAAGACCTTGTGTTGTTTTTGTTATACAAAATTACACTTTTTATGCTTATTAGCACAGATTTAGAGTTATTGCTTCTTGCAGTTGTCTTTTAAATCAGTTAAGAAAGAAATAAAAGTTACCAAAAAATTCATTTATACTTTCCTTTATATTTACATATATAATTACCTTTACTGATATTCTATTTCTTCATGTGGACTTGAGTTACTGTCTTGTAATTCATTTCATCCTGAAGGACTCCCTTAAGTATTTCTTATAGGTCTGGCCTGGAAGTGGTAAATTCTCTCTTTGTCTCTCTGTGAACTCATGACCCTGAGCTGAGATCAAGAGTCAGATGCTTAACAGATTGAGCCAGCCAGGTGCCCCTCTTTCTCTCTTTTTAACCTGGGAATGCCTTAATTTTGCCTTCATTTTTGAAAGATAGTTTTGCTGGATATAGAATTGTTGGCTGACAGTCTTTTTCTTTGACCAGTTTGACTTTTCATTCTACTGGCTTCTGGCCTTCCTGGTTTCTTATGAGAAATCAGCTCTTTATTCCATTGAGGACCCCTTGTATGTGATGAATTGCTTTTCTATGGCTGCTTTCAAGATTCTGTCTTTATCTTATAACATGTCAAGGTATGGATTTTCTTTCCTTTTCCCTTTCCTTATTCCTTTCCTTTTTCTTTTCCTTTCATGTTCCCTTTCCTTTTTTCCTTTTCCTTTCCTTTTCCCTTTCCTC